CACAATTAATTCTACTTTCATAACGAGCGTTCAAATAGAAACGTGGTCAAGTTGGTTCTGAAAATTTAGACGTAGGGCGTAGCGTATAGCAAATGAACTTAAACGTCATCTATCAAAGCGCTATATCGCCGCTATCAATTTGAATATTTTCGTCTTAAAAAGCGTTTAAAATGGTGTTTCCTTAAGAACAAAAAGTGTTTATCATAGAGTCCTACTTTAGAAATGGACGCAAGATTGATGGAATATGGAAGTATTCTATTGAGGAATGTTTCATAGAATTTCAAAATCAATTTCCTGGCGTTGTCGAGTACAAAATTTTTCAAAGTGCAGTTCAGCGTTGTGTTAATGTTTTTCGTGTAACGGGCAGTGTAACAAGAAAAGAAGGAAGCGGCCGACCTAAAAAGCGGACTGAAGAATTAAAAGAAAATGTCCAACAAATAATGGAAAATGCGCCAAGAACTTCTGTACGTGTTTTATCACAAATGGTGGGAGTATCAGTCGGTACCTGCCACACAGTGTTAAAAAAAGATTTGCGTTTGTTCTCCTATCGTTTAACTTGTCAGTAAGAACTTCATGAAGTTGATTTTCCGCGACGGGCTGTATTTTGTGAATGGTTTTTAAACAACTACGGTGAACTTCATAATATCACCTTTTTTTCTGATGAAGCCCGGTTTCATTTAAGTAGTTACGTAAACTCACAGAATATGAGAATGTGGTCTTTTGAAAAACCAGATAACTTTTTTGTCGAGGGCCCTCTACACGCTCAAAAAATTGGAGTTTGGTGTGCTCTCGATCGAAGGAGGATTTATGGACCTATTTTTTTTAATGGTACTCTTACTGCGCAAAGGTATAGAGAAGAAATTATCGCTCCTTTTGTCAACCAGCTGGAAGAAAACGAAATTACAAACTTTTACTTTCAACAAGATGGCGCAAGGGCACATACGGCAGGCGAGACGATGAATACGTTGAGGGAAGATTTCCAAAATCGACTAATAAGTCTCAATGCTGAACATGAATTTCCACCGAGGTCATGTGATATTACGCCGTGTGATTTCTTTTTGTGGCCTTACCTTAAAAACACTATTTTTGAACTGCCTATTCCTGATTTAAACCATCTGCAGGCTCGACTTATAGACAAGATTCGTGAAATTAACAATACCCCGAGCATCTTAGAAAATGTCTTTAATTCTTTGAGGAACAGGTGTGAAAAGTGCTTGGAACAAGGAGGGGGACACTTTCAGCAGCTGATTTAATTTGTTGTTATAACAAGGAGGGGGACACTTTCCGCAGCTCCTTTAATTGTTTGTTATTGTTATCACGATTATTCTTTAAAATAAAGTTATATAGTCATTAACGTTATTGAAACTGACAGCTGCTATACAGCTCGTTGAGAAATGAGGTTAAGTTGGTCGCTATAAGCTACTCCCTACGTCCAATGTGTCAGAGCCAACTTCGACCACGTTTTTATTTGAACGCTCGTTATTTAATAATTGTAAATATATTTATGAAACAGGGATACCAGTAATCCGTAACTACAAATATAATTTGACAGATGTAGCGGTTTAGGGGAAAATTTAGGGATTTTTCGTAACCAGTACCAGCCGCGCCATGTTGGTTGGCGGACACATTTATGTCTTATCTTTTTCTATTTAAGCGAAGGCTAATTTATTACAATATCTTGCAAAAAGACTCGTTATTAGCTTGTCATATTTATCATTTCCAGTGCATGCCTTCGACTCTTTCGACCACTTAACATAAACACGTCAAGGAATTTGTGTTGGCAGTAGATAATTCGGCTTCGTACCAGGACAAGGTTCAACTACGACTCGCGGGTCACACTCAATTACCATTAATGGTATATTAGATTGGAAGTCATCTAATACCCAATAGTAGTAAAAAAAATATCAATAAGGCCAGCTAGACAAGGTCGAATTTCATTAATGGAAATATCAGAACTTGTTTCTCTGAAATGCGAATTTATTTAATTGTATTATGTCCTAAAGTAATACCGCCGTTCATATTCAGTATAATTAAACGCATAGCGAAGACGTAGGGAACTATTTCTCAACCTGCCATTCTATAGGCATTAAATTTAATACGGCCGTAAGCGACATCTGCCGACGGCGACGTTTAGTTTAATTGATGGGCCATTAATGGAATTGGGAGTAATTTTCTCGAGTTTCCAAACAACTGTTCACAATTTTTTATTTAATTGGAATTTAAATTTAATAGCTTTCGGGGGTTTAATTGCGGATCGCTACCTTTCAGTTGCTCATTGAATTGTTTACAGCCGCCCTTGGTCATGGAATATCGGATATTTGTTCAGGAAATATACCGCATATTAATGAAATTATTAGATATGTCAAATCTCGTCCTTCTTGATTCGTGTACATGTTTTTTTTATATCGACACACGGAAATTCAACAATGAAGACACACAAACACACCGTATCGTCACTAAACACTGAAATCGCATAAAATTTAATGTATACCTCGCCCCCTAACTATCCCCTCTTAAGAAAAACATCACAATTCTCGCTTATCTTTCGATTGCTGTGACGCAAGCGACATCTAGGTGTTTCCCTGTTTACGACGCTTTCCAGCGATCGTTCAGTGAAAAAAAGGCTTGCCGAGAATGAGGATGTCGTCCTTTTGGAAACAGAAGTGACGTTCTGTTCCCGGTAAAAATTCCCTCTCGTAGGCTGGTGCGCGTCGAGAAGCTTTCCCGTGTATGGGCATGATGGGGATCCACTCGTCTTACCTTAGCGGGTGCCGCGAATGGGTGGGATTATGTGAGAATGCCCTCTAGATTTTTTGCTGCACTATCGGTCCTGTCAGGACGAGAAAAGAGCATTCAGATTCAGAATGTTTTGTGTGAATGTACTCGATTCTATTACGTCACAAAGGAAGACCCAGATATTAATTTCACGAGGCGACGGGACAAGTCGAGAAATGACGGAAAGCCGGTGAGGAGGGGAAATTTTTTATAGCAAAAAATGGAGCAAAAAATTTAACAAAAAATATTCGCTATTTTCCTTAAAATTTAATTGAAATTTGTATTTTTATTGTTTGTAAAAATGGACAAAAAATGTGAAAATTTTTCTTCTGGCTTTTGTAGAACTTAAATTTTCATTTTTTGTATCAGATTAACAGAATGTCGAGGAGGTATGGGAATAAAATTTTACTCCTGATATTTGCTTTTAAATACATTTAAATTTACACATTTTGTATAAAATTTAATTGAAATTTGTATTTTTATTTTTGGTTAAAAATGGAGCAAAAAAATCGTAGGGAAGGCGGAGGGGAATTCTTTTATAGCAAAAAAATAGAGCAACAAATTTATCAAAAAATCCTCGCTATTTTCCTTAAAAAAAACCATTTTCGCCAGAGAGAAATATGAGTCCTTGTAGTCCATGTTGATCGAAGCAACATCAAAAATATACTCCCAGCCCCAGACGATTTACTCAACGTCTAGGTACTGGGAACATACATGTTCGAATGCTGCTCCTTAGGTCTGTACGGTTTGCTGCAGAAATCCTCCTGAAAAAAGAATTAAAATTTTCAAAATTTTTCGAAACATTTTCAGCCAATAACATAATTTCCGAAGAAATTCGATACGCTAAACACGATTCTGCAGTAAAAAATCATGACTTTCCGATAAAATTCTGAAAAAAGTGAAATTTTTGGGTGAAAATATAGCCCAAAACTGATTCTTTCCTGAATTTTGTCCAAATATCGCGTGTTTCAGAGTTAAAGTGACAAAAGCTTAGGCGAGATTCCGCTCAGCAAAATATGTAAAAAAATTCATATGAACATGGGTCCGCAAATGCTTCGTTTGCGAGATACAGGGTGTTAATTTGTTTTAAATTGAGTTTAAAAAAAACGCTTTAGCCGATTTGAATGAATTTTTTACGGTTTACATCAAATGGACCGATTAGATTTAATCCAGAGTTTTCAGGGGCGTACCCATCGAGCAAGTCGTTTTCTTTTTTGTAGAAAAGAATATCACCCTGTAGTTTTTTTGCGGTTTTTATGTAATATTCAGATAAACCGATTGAACGGAACGGAATCTCCCCTAGACAGAACGAATAAAAGAAAACATTCCTCACATAATTCTGAATCCTCTTCAGAAAGACGCGTAAATCGCCAGAGATAATCCTCCAGAAATGTGATACTAATGCTCGTGTCCGTGGTTGGCTAAAAAAGAAAAAACGGCGACGTTGCCAAACGTATAGAAAATTCTTTAGATACGGATAAATCGAAAATCGTTTTATATTATTAATTAAAAACATCCGTTTTGAAATGGTATGTAATAATAAATCAAACCATTTCATTAATGCAAAATATGGTAATCCCTATGCGTCAAAACAGATAGGCAGATTTATTGGGTAACGAAGACACGCATTGTCATTTGTATGTTTTCATTGTTTTAAATTAGAATATTATGTAACTTTTAAATTCAAATATATCGCGATTTATGTTCTTGTGCATAGTCCAGTAGTACATCTGTCTTGATAGAGTATTTAATTGTCGGAGGTAGACACGATGTCGAAAAATAGTATACTTACTTCATAATTTCTTTTTTTTAAATTAAACGAAAGTTTGTTCATTTCGAAGAATTTAATGACTTGCGAATTGGCAACAAAGCAAAACAGTAGTGCCTGAGCGGCACATACTTTCGACTGGTCTTCCCTTGCCTGGTACCAGCTCGGGTGAACGCACTCCGGTGCCTGCGGGTCGTCTTCGACCTCTACCACTCGGCTGGCATTGCCCGTAGACCCGCGGAATCCACTTCAAAAGTTCCCTTTGTGCACCACACGCCATTGTTTGTACTACAAGGTTGGGCGCCGATACGTCGAGATGTTCAGCTTTCTTTATGTCCCTTTATACTTTTTCTATGCGATAATTTGTAAGGTCCGTCACGTTCACGAGAATGATCGAAAACTATCGAAACGTCGGATTATATTACGTTTTGAAAGTATACGTAATGTTTATTTGCAGATGACCATTCGGATTACGGGAGCACCGTCAGCGGCAGCACGGGCAAGTCCCCGGGGCCGATCTTTCCCGCGCCGAGCTTCACGTTTCCCGGCCAGCCGCCCCCCGGCACCGTCCTCACGCACAAGGCCGCCGTCTACTACCACCACCAGCTCAGCTTGCAGGAGGACCAGGGGATCGACATGACCCAGGTAACCCCCCGAATCCTCAATTCGTTATTAATTTCCTCACTGTAATTTTTTTTATTCGAGAACTGTCATAAATATTGACATTTTTAGAACAAAAAGTATTTTTCACACAATTGTTTTTTGGTAAACTTAGCACAGCATTTCCGATATAATGTGACATGAAAAAATAACAAAGGTCCTCTAAGTATGTGTCTTCTGTGCCTTTTACTGTGTCATTTTTTCATGTAAACTAATTCGAGTTACATTCATTAAAAAAAAAATTGTTCGTCTAGTGCCTGCATTTGTTTTTGTGTGCTCGAATGGTTAGCGAGATTTTACAACTGCTCTTTTTAGTCTCCCGGGAGGGACAGTCCGGGTTCCTCCAGCGGCAGCGCGGGTTCTGGCTCCCGCCACAGCACCGCTTCCTTGGACAGCGGCAGGGCCTCCTACCATCCGCTTAGCACGGCCGGCAGGAGCACCATAGGCTCCTCCAACAGTCCGAGGTGTTCCCTAAGCTCATGTTCCATAGGGTCGGACGGTGGCCGCATCGAACGCATGATACACCAGGGGGTACCAGTAAGTACCCACGGATAAATTTAATACAAGGATAAGGTGACGAAATTAATGTCTCTTCCCAGGATCAGGACATCATCCACTCCTGGCTGGTGGACCTGCAGTTTGAGGAGTACTTCCCTTTGTTCATATCGGCCGGCTACGATCTGCCCACCATAGGCAGAATGACGCCAGAAGACCTGACTGCCATAGGAATTAAGAAGCCCAACCACAGGAAAAGGCTTAAGGCAGAAATCGCCCAGCTTAACCTGCCGGATAACCTGCCTGAATTCATTCCGGTAAGTTGTTATTAAATATATAAAAAATTAAATACGTTTGCTGCGTGTTATTGATTCCGTAACGAACTGAATTGCGTTTTGAGGATATCGTCTGTTCTGCTAGGGTTCTCTGGAGGAGTGGCTCAACTTACTTAGATTAGACGAATATTTGCCAGCATTTCTCGAGCAGAATTACCAGACTGTGGACGACGTCGCACAGTTAACATGGGAAGACCTGGAGGAATTCGGGATAGTGAAATTAGGCCACCAGAAAAAAATAATGCTGGCCATAAAGAGAATCAAGGACATCAAAGCCGGCAAGAGGATAAACGCAGACGGGAACAGGATCTACTCGACACAGGTGAGTTTTTCTTTGTGAACACTTTGTGCCCGATCAGAATATCTGTTATTAGGCGAACTGTGTATTTCCTTTCACTGTTTCATTCCTTGTTTTATTTTTGTAAAATTTGCATTTTCTTATACTTTGAGCATGTTTATCTTACGAAATTAACATCTGGATGTTAGATTCTTTAGTCAGATATTTCACATCAACCTAGAGGTTTATTATTAGTTTGTTTTTTATACGTTTACCATAACTTACCGCATTTGGGCCACACACATATTTTCGTTTTTCTTGAGAATCGTTGTCTCAGCAACATGTTCAAAGTACAGGCCAAGGAAATAATTTTACAACAATAAAAACATGCGAATAGTTTAAAAAAATGTACGTCGAGAAACATTTGATGAATATTCCAAATGTATCGGGATGTTGAGTAAGTTCTCGCCTTCTTAAAAATTAATGCCTTTTTTTTAAAAAAACACGCCACTGAAAGTATTGTCGATCGCCACTACTTTTTCCCATATTTCTGGCAACATTTTCATTTTACGTCGTAAAACGACACATCCTTTGAGGCTATCCAAGAGTCGACCCATTTTTTGGCATCAGTTGCAGTCGATAGCGATCTCCCGTGATGATTTCATTCAGTGTGAACAGCTCGTAATAAACTACACACAGACGATTCCACCAAACGAGGAGCAAAAACCGAATCGGGCTTGCTCCACGATTTTCTACGCTTCCATTTTTTTATCGCCAGTTACGATACGATGCAAAAAACCTTTAATTTTCTGCCATTGAAGCAACAGTTCACACGTACAAAACTACACAATGTAGCGCTGTTAACGCCATCTGTTGGAAAATAGCGAGAACTCATTCAACGTCCCTATATGTTAGATTCCTGTCCCCTTTTTAAAAATCGTCACCTATTGGTGTGAAAATTTACAGTTTTAATTTAACTGCAATTTTACCACTTTACACTGGTTAATATTCGTTTTCCTTTTTAAGAAACGGGTTAATGCGAGCACCTTTTCCGCATTTCGAATTTCGGAAAAGCGAACACAGAAAGTGGTTTCATATATTCCAGAAGAGGTGTTCGTATGCCCTTAAACCGAGCCCCCTGTAACTAAAATGAGATGTGAAATGTCATTTTGTTACGATCTGCTGCACTAGTTGCAAGCCGTACCCCCCCCCTCCCCACCCACTCACTCCCCCCAGCTCTCTACCTTCGCTTAAGCTGCATGTTTGTGTGTAAGGACGTTATGGTGCACGCACCCATGGACCTCCCGTCGCCTGGCGTACCCGCAGTCCACAGCACTTTCCGCTCTTTTCACCAGCCGTGGGAGATCGACCAGACGAGGCAGCTGGCGGCAGGCACCGCTCACTACGTGCAACCTACCATGTATTGCCCTGACATAATCCCCATCAAGGTATACTCTTACCCCTGTCTCACTTTTTGCCTTCGTTCCGTTGAACGGGCCAGGAGATGTCTTGCCACTTACAATATGAAGCCTCACGCCGCGTCAACAGTTTAATCGGTCTTTAATTGTAGATGACGCAAGTGTGTAAAACAACTACTCTGCGGACTACATGTTTAGACAAAATATTTCGTTAAAACGCAACTTTCTGTTTCACCGACTGGTGTCTGGTGTCTGGTGTAATTTTTCACAAGATTCTATTCAACCAATCTAAATCTGTAAAATTCTTAATATAAAGTTTATTTTCTTTCACTTATTGTTTTACCGAGTAACATATCGAGCGGGAACCTTCGAGGCTTTATAATTGAAGTGGCGATATCTCGATCCACTGAATTGACCATCAACGTAGGAAATAACCAACAAACCAACCAATTCTGTTACAGGTGGTCAGAACGGGCAGGGGAAAGTCCCTCGAATCCCTGGAAGACCCCAGCGAGCGGACTCACTACACCTTCAGCGTGGAGAACACCCAGACGTTCTACTGTCAGCAACCCATCGGGTGGAGGACCAGATCCTACGAGGACGGGGACATAACCCCCACAAACGAGACCAGTTTGCTGTACGAGGGAGGCGGGACCCTTCCCAGACCGCGAGGCGTGATCCGTCCCAGGCCCATCGCCAAGATAGCCGCCAAGGCCAGGGAGACGTTCCCGGATTTCGAGAAGCCCCAGTTCAACCCCGAGAAGTACGGCAACCCGCAATACAAGACCCTACCCAGGGAACTGATAGACGGCAATAAATACCACATGCAATACAACAGCCCGCTCATGGGCAAGAAGATACCGCCCAACCCGCCCAAACGGCAGGACAGCGACAGCAACGAGCAGACCACCACCGTGGAGATTCACCACGTGCAGACTTCCAGCCCGTTGCCCCTGCCGGCGTATCCCAGTTCGGACAGTCTCAGTATATCGCTGGAGAGCCAGGGGGATCTGCCCCTGCCGCCGCCTCCGGCTCCCGGCACGCCGCCGGGGAAGCTCAATTCGTCGCAGTCCTGGGGGGCGGAAGAGCAGGAGCTCATCAAGACATTGGCGCTGCAGCACCGGAACGGTTCCGATGCAAGTTTTAAGGTAACGGAGGAGATCTGCATGGTAGAGTTGGGTAAACCGGAAGAGGCCGAGGCGTGCGATGAGGGAACGGGCTAGGCCTTGGAGGTTATGTTCTGTTTAGGTTGCTTTCGCGCTTAATTCACTGATCACGGTCCCGGAGATTTTTGAGAAAAAATTTAAAAATTGAACAAAAATTTCCGGGACGCTACACCGAAACTCATAAAATCGATGATCGTCCTTCGACGAACTAACACCTTTGTTCATTACGAAGGCGAGATTACACGATGAAAGTTTAACTACCGATAACGGGAACATAACCTCGACGAGTCCGTTACATTTACACATATCGCTAGGTACATCCCGTCATATCAAGTAGTGGCATATCTCACGCCTGGGGCTCTCGCACCTGCAGAAAAATAGTGAGGTTATAACATACCAGAGCTTCTAATTGTCGTTGTGCTAACTGCTATGATCTTTTTCTCCATCACCGATGTCTGCTTGAGGCCTCGTATATCTGTCGCGGGCACACCTCGCAAATGTCTGTGGTTCAGGGCGTATCATCCCCTCATCTAAGCTTCATCTGCCGCACTCACCAGTCACATCGCTGCCGATCACGCTTCATCATTCAAATACGCTTTTTTAAGCGGTATTTTAATTCTGAGACAAACGATGTCGCATAACCTCACATTGAGGTATGAATATCCATGGCGCCCTCTTGCGGCAAATTCTGTAACTTCGACACAACTCGTTCATCTCGCTCTGCTTTTTTTGTCTGCTGTTTCGTTTCGCTAGAGGGAACGCCGCAACACAACTACCATTCTCTGTGTACAGTACAGGCTAAAAATATCGTTCGTGTGTCTGCTTCGCTATTGTAAAAGCAACATTAATTCTTTTATAAGAGTATAAAATTGTTCGTTAAAGCTTTATTGTGTACAGAAAATGCTTCTCATTATTTCACGATCGATCATCGACGCACAACGCCTGAGTTCCGTCATACTTTACTGTTTTTGTTGGTTTTTATAGATTTTTTTTTACTAATTTTGATAGTTTTGGTTGTTGGGCGCTGCTTAAGGTATTTCTTTTAGATCCGAAGAACTAAGTTCGAATTAAAGAATTTTTTTGAAGAAAATTCATATCTTTATCCCGATTAAAAAAAAAGTACGTCTCTCTCGGTGTTAAGTTTGTTTAATTCAAGATCTATACCTTAAGCAGCTTATGGTGAAACATTTTTTACTGGGAACGCAGGACGTATTAGTTTTATGTCGGTCTGAAACGAAAACTGATAGCTCGTCGACTTTCTTGTCAACAGGAAAAGACTTGATGATATTCGTGCGGGTTTCCTAAAAACACATTTTATCCTTGCAATTTTTTAAGCCACTTAAAGCATACAGTTGACTTATATCACTTTCGAGAGGGTATTCAACAACTGATTTTAGTTTGCGATCTATGAATTATTTGAATTGTCAGTGTTGCGAGAAACAACTACTCCGAGAGCTATATGCCCCTACCGGCATTGAATTATACGCCGGTAGGGGCATATAGCTCTCGGAGTAGTTGTTTCTCGCAACACTGACAATTCAAACATTGTGTTACGCCCTCTGTGGCGTAACATTAGAAGAAAAACTAATTTACATTAAAAATTTTTATACACACTTAAGACCGATTCTTCCGTAGTTCTGTTAATATCAACAGTAAAAAATAGTGTCTCAAATAAAAATCGCACCAATTCGGTTCAATGTAGGCGAGCGGTTCACCCCTAAAAAGATTGTTCTAAATGAAGGTAACCGACTAAATTTTTAAAACAAAAACGTACAGCATGAAACTTTTTTTATTTTATAAAGTGTTTTTTTCTGATAATATACATATTTTTTTTTATATTTTTCGGCATGGTCAGTCAATTGTTATAAACAAAAATGTTGGAAAAAAAAATTACTCGACGAATAGCTTTGAAGAGACTTTTCTTTTTACTCGCTGTAGACGTTCAATAAAATGATTGACCCATACCAAAGAAATATATCTTAAAGTAGTTTTTGAGAAAAAAATTCCGAAAGTTTGTCGATTTCGTCACTTTTTCACATTAAATTGTAAATATGTCGGAAACGAAGCATTTTTCAAACAAAAAGTTTATTTTGGTCCATTTTACGATAAAAAAACAGTTTTCAAAGCCATTCGGCCAGTAATTTTTTTTTTACACCTTTTGTTTATGACAATTGACTGACCACGCCGAAAAATATAAAAAAATATGTACTTATCAGAAAAATACACTTTATAAAATAAAAGTTTCACGCTCTAGGTTTTTGTTTTAAAAATTTAATCGGTTCATGCCTTTTTTTTAGGGGTGAACCGCTCGCCTAATAGCAAATAGGCAACCAGCATTACGTTTTTATAGATTTTATTACACAGTTTGCCTACATATGAATTAATGCACAAATAATAGACTTTCCACCATTCTAACGCTCGTTTTCTATAAAATGGACTTTGTTTGAACCTTAAATTACTTTTGGTTGTTAAGAAATTTGTAATTTGCCGCTTTTGAATAAGCGGCATCGTATTTTACAAATTTTCAAAACCAAGTCCATCTTATAGAAAATCTGTGTTAAAACGGGGGAAAGTCTGTTAATTGTGCATTAATTCATATTTAGACGAACTGTGTAATAAAATCCATAAAAATGTATTACTGGTTGCCTATTTCTATTCTCACCATTTGTTCAAGTGTGAAAAAAAAATGTCCTATCCATTTATCTGCTTATTACTTAAACTTAAACACGACTACTATCACACTAGGCGAAATGAACTTTTCAACTAATGACGCTGTAGTCCACAGATCAGTCGCTCCCCGCAGTATAATTAGTTGGAAAAATATTATCAAATGTGAAATATCTAAATTAAATTTTATGATTTTTGAACATAAAAAAAAGTACTCTTTGTAAATATTTTTGAAAGTAGTTCAAACGTACCGTTCGGCTTTACACTTGTGTACGTAAATGTACACTCAAAGTTAACTGAAATTAATTTTTCAACTAATGACGCTGTAGTCCGCAGAGTAGTCGCTCCCCGCAGTATAATTAGTTGGAAAAATATTATCAAATGTGAAATAGCTAAATTAAATTTTATTTTCTTTGAACATAAATAAAAGTACTGTCTTTGTAAATATTTTTGAAAGTAGTTCAAACGTACCGTTCGGCTTTATACTTGTGTACGTAAATGTACACTCAAAGTTAACTGAAATTAATTTTTCAACTAATGACGCTGTAGTCCGCAGAGTAGTCGCTCCCCGCTATAATTAGTTGGAAAAATATTATCAAATGTGAAATATCTGAATTAAATTTTATGGTCTTTGAACATAAATAAAAGTACTGTCTTTGTAAATATTTTTGAAAGTAGTTCAAACGTACCGTTCGGCTTTACACTTGTGTACGTAAATGTACAGTCAAAGTTAACTGAAATTAATTTTTCAACTAATGACGCTGTAGTCTGCAGAGTAGTCGCTCCCCACAGTATAATTAGAAAAATATTATATGTATAATTTTAAAATTTGATAGATTTGATTTTGGGAAAAAAATAAAATTCGGTAACACTCGGAAACGGAACACAGAACTTTTATTTGAGATTTTTTTCTGTTATTTACTGATATTAAAGGAGCTATGAAGAATTAATCCAAAGTAAAACCCCAACGCTATCAGTTCCCAGCCCGACAGAAAACGATACGTTCCGCGATTCCTCAAAACGAAAAAAAAAACGCCTCGCCCCCGTACGTAGCAGATTTTTTTTAATCATTCCTTCCTTCTTCCAGTCGAGTTCGAGCACAGAGTCAGACTCGCTGCCGTTCGCCAATGAAAACGCCGGCACGATCAGAACTCGGGCCGCCGCCGGCGCCGGCAGGCAGGCCGAGTTCTCGTCCCCCAAGCCGCCGCGAGCCGGCCTCCCCCCGCATCCGTCCCCCACGCCCGCCGCTGCCGCCCGCCAGCAAACGAGCGCCCGCAATCAAAGAACAGAGCCGGCCGATGTCCTCAACGACATCGGGAACATGCTGGCCAATCTCACCGACGAGCTAGACGCCATGCTGGAGGAGGAGAAACGGCAACAGTAACTTCACACACACACACACGCATAAGACTGAACGTCATGTTATAATTTCACTTATTTTTGTACAGGACCTAGGGCGCGGCCTTCAGAAGGCCCCGTTAGGATCTTCCGTTCGATTCGTAGATTTCCCATTTCGTACGGTTCGTTTTTTTTTTTTTAATTTTATATATACAGATTTTAAATTATAGGTTCGTTGTAAATAGGAAATTTTATTTTATCCTGAAAGGTTTGTAAATAGTTTTTTAGATAAGAACATTATATTGTAAAAATGTAAAATTGTTTTCGATCGGTTCGTATGGTTTCGTGGATTGCTTCGGAGTAACCGGAAAATTTTATATCTACTTAAATCGAGGTCTTTGTTGTGATCTCTATATATACGGTTATATATTAATTTTGTAGCTCTGTTTAAATGATTTTACAGCGTTTTACGATGTGTGTCAATCGGTGACGTACGCGAGGGGTCATTTTGGGGGTCGGGACTCAACCCGAGAAAAACAGATTAATACCGAGCTCGGAATGTTCAACGGATTTGTTAAATTGAGGTGTAGGGCGACTCAAATTATAAAAACATTGCGGTGCTGACAGAAAAGGGTAAAGAAAATTACTGATGTAGTACTCGGTTGTACGTCTGAAAAGCCGAATGGCATTCGAATATCTTCATATACAAGTTACAACATTAAAAAATAAAAGAAACACGATTTCTTCTTTTTATATTTCAAGAACCTAATCCTGTGTAACGTTTTCTGTAATTCGGGTCCCCTTAAATAATTTTAACTCGGTACTATCATTAAATTTCTTTTGTGGGACTTTAGTTTACGTTAGAGCATCAACAACCTTAGGAACGGTTTGAAGTCTCGACCCCCCGTGACAAAATTCTGTATACGCCACTGCATCAATTATATTAATTGTAATTTTTTTTTAATTCGAGCTTAAAGCGGGACGCAAACTTCAAGTTTTTATAATTTTCTTTGCAGACCGAAATGATCCCGAAAAAGAGTTAAACTCTCTCAAACGACTCTCAAAAAATTTTTGCTCACCGCTCCAAATTTTTCTCGTGACTAGTATAGAGGGACCAAAACGCTTGTGTTCGATTGTTTTTAACATTTATTTACATTGAACTGCAGTTATCCCACTTCTGATGTGAGCGTGTAAATACACCTTATAGCGAATCGTTTGAATATAAAAATTATCCCACGGAACGACTAATATTTTTTAATGTTCTTTTAATTGGAATCGTTGAAAATTATGGAGTGAAACTGGAAGTTTGCGTGCCGCGTTTGATTTCAAAGAAACACTTGAACGAAAACTTAAATGAATGTAAATAAAACTAGCTAGATCTTGTACTGAAAATTTAGCCAATAGAAGCTGAGTAATAAAGAAGAATAGTAAATACTTTTGTACAAAGCCATCTTAGTATACGGGAGTAGGGCGTCTAGCGTAGATCGGTGTTTTATTACCTTTACACCGGGAAGCCGCAACATTAGTCAGTTTGTTTCTATCGAAATGGTTTAAGAAGACTGATAGCACGATTCGTGAACTTTTCCTGTGCGCGGAGAAGGGAATACCAGTGCCATATCTAAACACGCCCCTTCTGCTGCCGTTGAGCGTCATTCCGTTAAATTTTTCGACTGTTCCTTTCGCCGCACACGAAAAGCACGCCGTTGAGTTGTTTACGCTTTAGTTTCTCTGGACCATGCGTTTTACATTCATTTGCCACTTTTTCGATTGCCGTCTCGCGATGTTATTTGTAACGGGAGAAAAAGAGAGAGAGAGAATGTTATTAATGTGCTATACTTAATAGTTTATATACTGCAATTTCCTACGTTGTTATCCGTCATAGCATTTTTTCTTATTAATATAGCTGTTAATATTTCTAAATCTGATCTTTGATACTCCTTTATTATTTTATTTTATCGTATTGGTTAACTGTTAACAATTATAAATATAGATTAAATAATAAAGTAAAATATTATGAAATGAAAAACGCTTTTTATTCACACCGGTGCATCCCATCCGTCCAATAGTGTATGGTAAGTTATTTTATCAAAATTCCTTGTAACATTTTTCCAGATCGGAATTGCAAATTACTATCAAATGTAAATATTTTTTAAAGTAGTTCAAATGTACCGTTCGATTTTACACTCGTGTACGTAAATGTACACTCAAAATTAACTGAAAGATTTACTTGAAAATATTTATCTCGTATTGTGTATCAAAATAAAATTTGTAATAAAACAAGATAAACCTGTACTTAGTTTTTACAATACTGAATAGTCAGAACTAGAAAATTTTAAATTAAATTTGACTGGATGTGAATGGAAATAGAATTACCGAGAATTTGTAACTTATGAAAAGTAGTTCAAATGTACCGTTCGACTTTACACTCGTGTACGTAAATGTACACTCAAAATTAACTGAAAGATGCATGGAACTTAAGTTATTAATCATTTAACTCATTTCCAAATCCAATAATTACTTGAAAACATTTATCTCGTATTGTGTATCAAAATAAATTTTTAAAATAAAACAAGATAAATCTGTACTTAGTTTTTACAATACTGAATAGTTAGAACTAGAAAATTTTAAATTAAATTTGATTGGATATGAATGGAAATAGAATTACGGAGACTTTGTAACATATGAAAGTAGGTCAAATGTACTATTCGATAATCCACACTGAAATTGAGCAAATTGTCCAATTTAAGCAAATTAAAGAATTGTATCAGAAGGAAATATTAATCAGCGACAATATTTTGGAATTATACAATTTTCTTCTTTGCTATAAAGCAATGTGCATCTACAACCACTTCAAAGCTAAACGATGCGTCTTTTCCCGTATTTCGTCCTCGTATCAAGAATTCATTGTCTAGTGAGCGATGAAACGTTTAATTTGATAACGACTTTCCTCGAGCAGAATAATTCTAAACTATGTTATTTCTTTGTCTGTTGGAAGAAAGCAGGTACGATAATTTTTTTTTAGAATTAATTATGCGGAGATCACTAAAGGCAATTTCAGATAAAGTTAAGATGCACAAAATTTTATCGAAAGAAAATCTAAGAATTGCATTTGCTGCAGTTACAGGAAACGTCATTTCTAATATCACTGACGGATCTTACGAAAGGATAAGCTTTGTATTAGATTTATCCTGCGAAAAGTCCGACGTAATATTAAACGAGGTAAAAGCTAACTAACTACTTTCTACCTCATCGAAATATTTTACATATTTTTTCAGAGTCGCAAGAACAACAAATTCAGGTTTGTCCACAGCTGGCTCATGGTATCAAATTCACCCATTAAACGGAACGATATAAAAAATATGTTCGAAAACGTAACGCTGAGAATGGACACGGATATAAAACTAGCAGTACCAGAACTCGATAACCGGTATTCCATTTTCGAAATCTACCACCCTGGTCTTGAAGGCGATATAAAAATAAACGAAATAGGGGTTCACGCTTACAACAAACTAACTTACTTTAATAAGGATATTTCCTTTTATAGCGCTAGAAAGGATATGTCGGGAATTCTCATAAGGACGGGAAACAGAGTAAGGATAACAGTGAAGGCGTACCCAGTGCATGTATAAAAGTCCCGAGTCGGTCCCCGGAGTCTGACCTAAGTTCGACCCCCGGAGTCAGTCTCTGGACTTACATTTAATCCAGGTTCCTAGTTGGTGACTTTTCCTTAGTAATTTCTGAGACGCCAACTTAAGAAAATCAAATTCACTGAGCGCCAGAACAAATTCGGTCGCCATAACCATGACCACGTAATAAAATAAAACATTTTGCAGGTAAATTATTCCTTGGGTACTCCCGAGAATTACACCGAGGCACTACGACACAGAAATCGTTTCACTTTCGGTAAATTCCACTTCCAGCTGTTTCTCCACCTCGTCTACATACACGAGTTCCAGTAAGTCAGTAGACGTCTGATAGAAAATCATCGTTCAAGCACCGCGGTTGCGATCTACGCATTTTTTAATCGTTTCTCGACATTTCAGCTACAACACCACGATTCGAGCAGAATGGTTTGGCAACAGCAGCAGCGGCATCGAAGCTGGCCTGTCGCGGCTGCTTTGGGACAACGAAATCGATATTAGCAGCGCCGGTGGCATCTTACGAGCCCCAAGGATGCATTATTACGACTACCTATTACCTTATTATCAATTCAGGTATGCAGGAAACAAATTGTACGTTTTTTTTAATTTAAAAAAAAGTTTCGACCGGTTTAAATCCCCAAAACTCGAAATAGAAATACGTTCAGCGCAGCCATCGAATTTTAAAATCTATTCCCTTTAAATTTTTTTAGGACCAGTTTCTTCTTCAGGAATCCGGGAAACGTCAGTCCCGGAGGCGAAGTGCTGAGACCGTTCTCAGTGACGACTTGGTACTGCTTCTTGGCGGCCACCATCGTCGTGAGTCTGGCTATCAAAGCCGCCTATTGGATCGAACGGACATTTTTAAAGTCCCGCTTCGACTACAGCCTTGTTACGTCGTTTGTTACCACCATATCGCTCTTTGCCCAACAAGGTACCAACTCAAACGTCTAAAAGCAAAGACGACTCCGATTTTATAATGTTTGTAGGCTCTTCGACTGTCCCAAATCACATGGGTGGCAGAATCATCTTCCTAAACATTCTCGTCCTCTCCATTCTCCTGTACAACTACTACACTTCCGCCTTGGTATCTTCTCTGCTCAACGCAAAGCCCGACGTCCTTGAAACCGTCAAGGAACTCTACGAGAGCACCCTTAAGGTGGGTACCGAGTACCAACCCTACACCAACACCTTTATAGTCCAAGCAAGGGGTAACGAGTGGGTGCAGAAGCTCAACAGCTCGAAGATCTTCACGTCTGGCCGTGCGAACTACTATTCTCCCGAAGAAGGCCTGGCTAAAGTGAAGAAAGGCGGGTTCGCCTACCACACGGAGGTCACTACGGCTTACCCCATCGTATCCAGGACCTTCGAGGCGGATCCCATTTGCGATTTAGCCCAGATCGAGTTCATCGATCCGGCTTCGGTGGGGTTTATGGTGCCGAAAAGGTCCCAGTACAGGCAGCTGTTTCTGGTCAGGTAAAATATTTCGTTGAGCGAAGAATCTCAAAGAAACGGAAAAATCTTGATTTTTTTGTGAAAAGCGCCAGCCACAAAATATATAATGGAAGAAAACGGAGCACCTAAGAAAAATGCCGATATTGCCATAACTTTTTTAGGGGCAAACTTTTTTTCGCAAAAATTGGTAAAAATGCATTTGAGCGGTTCCTAAATCCAGTGGTGTAGTCAGATTTTTGATTAAAACAACAAAATTTTGCTATTTTTCACTTAAAAAAAAATTCGTAGTAGGCCTTGAAAATCAAAATTTCGTCTTCAAATTTTGCATCAACATAGAGCTTTTGGAGATTTATCTTTAAAAAAAAACTCGGTTCGAATCGGTCCGTAAACAACTTTTGTACGCGACTGTTTCCATTCTTAATGGGTCACCCTGTATATGAAAATATAATACAGCCACAGAAAAAAATTTTATTCTCTATAATTTTACTCATGAATTGTAGACATATAGAGATTGTAATTTTATAAAGTGATAATCATATTTTTAAAGATACGATACAACTTGGATACCAAACTTTATCGCCATACTCTCGTATTCCGTTTTGAAACATTTTATTTCCAAACCATTATTAATTTTCTCTTAATGTTCTCCAAAGCCTTCACTGAAAAAAAATTAAAAACAAATTATCAGTAGTTATACAGAAATGAGGTCCTATTATACAAAGTTGAACAATATTTACTTTAAATTTTTTTAGTCATTTATTACTTTACGCTAACAATTTCAGGGTGTTAAAAAAATGGAAGAAATATATTAAAGAGAGATATAAAACACAATCAAGTTTATTTACTTGAGGGGGCGATTTAGTATGTATATTTTTACCGTGTAACAGAGCTTCAGATGAGGACACAAATCATCGAAGCAACTGACATAATTGAATATTATTATATATCAATGTATTCGCAATGGTTCCTCGCTAGTGAGCGAGATAAATTTCAATGCTCATGACAACAGAAGAATAATTTAAATAAATGCCAAAGTACCTCAATTTTAACCATACTGTTAGTGTGTCAATATATTGCGTTTACGACGGAACTAGGTCAGGCACAATAACCAAACTACTTCACTCACTAGAACGGACACCTAGGATCATTTGTATTTAATTTTCAGATTAATATTTATTAATAGTTCTATAATTTGTGTCCTCAAGTGAAATGACAACATTTTACACACGACTCCATTTTTAGTACGTATCTAAACCAGAATTGTCGAGTTTCCTACCTATACACAAGATATTTCTAACAATTCTCGATATAATTAGTTTGTACGCTCTCTCACAGGTGTCGCTACCCTTGAAAATGAAAGTGAAAACACAGAGTTGGTTTATTATAAATGCGTTCTAAAATAAAGCATAATAAGTCTAATATTATCTTTGATATACCTAGTAGTACCTAAGTAATGATTTTGTAAAGCTTAAATAGTACGAAAATATAACACATAAAAAACCAATAATATGTACTAATTTGTCTTTATTAAAAATAAAGATTAAATTTTACGTACAGGGTGTCCCACATAAAATCGTTATTTATGTTTAAATAAATTTACAGCTTAAAAATTAGCCTGGCTCAGATAGATTTCTTCTTCAATCTACAAATCTACAAATCTTCAAGTCCACTTACTGGATATTTAATGAAAAAAGTTACGACCAAAAAAATTATACATTCTTGAATATAAATATAACTAACACGATTTTAATTTCATATTGTCTTGACAATCAACTTTTGCTTATTTTTAGTCACTTACTATCGAAATAAATGAAATAGACCTCTGAGTTTGGAAACCGATATTAAGAAAACATAGGGGCAAAAAATTTGAAATTTGGACCAAATATAGCCTCACTATTACTCTATTGTGTGCTAAAATTTCGGTTGGTTTCGTTATTCCATTTGTTAGTTATTAATGAAAATGTTGAAAAAATCACGGTTTTCTGCATATAAAATTATTGGTACCTCTCACTTTAACTCGTCGTAATTTTTTTGTTAACTGATAAAAAAAATCCAATTTTTACTAACGATAAGTTGAACTATTGTCTTTAATACTGTAAAGGTCATTTGTCTCAAAAGGTCTTCTTTTTTTTATTTTTAAGTGAAACATAAGGGAGTGCTATTTCCATAAATATGGAATTCTTTAAAAAAAGAAAAAACTGACATAGGTAGCAAATAACTGTAAACAACAATTTGAAAAAATATGTTAAAATAATACAGTTATAAATATGATAGTATCGGAATGGTCAATTGCGTTCACGGTCCGATGCAGAGTATACAGTATAGCCTTTATAACTGTATTATTTTAACAAATTTTTTCAGATTGTTGTTTACGGAGATAGCATCCCCTTCTGTTTTGCTTAAAAATAAAAAAAGAGCTTTCGAGACAAATGACCTTCACAGTGCTAAAGACGATAGTGCGACTTATACTCAGTAAAATTAGAATTATTTTTGTCTAATTTTTTTTCCCGTTATTTTATCATCTTCTAGGTTGAAAAAAAATCTCGATTCTAAAAATTTCAAATCGATATTTTTTTTCATTGAATTTGATCAACAAAATAATAGAAATTAATTACGAGACACTTAATAAATGTCTCGAGGCAAAATTTACTACCGCACTGTATCAAATATTTATAATTTTTTAATTTTTTTAAAATTTTTTATTTTTTAGAGGTCGCTCAACTCTGAAAATTAAAATAATTATGAGTGACCTTTAGGAATTAAAATATCGATTGGAAATTTTCAGAATCGAGATTTTTTTCAACCTAGAAAATGATAAAATAACGGGAAAAAAATTTCAATTTTTGACGATTTTGGAAAGTTTTAAAAATCTTGAGCGACCTCTAAAAAATTTTTTTGAGCTGATTTTTTGAAGGGGCTCTTCAAACATATTAATTTAACATATTTTCACAAGAGACACGAAAAAAAAATTGTTTTTTTTTTTTTTTTTGAACCACCCTACTATACATATTATTCTCCAAACGTAATTAATAGCAAGTTTCTATATATTTTAGTAATTAGGCAGTGTTTTTTAAATTGATACGACTCACCAAAGTAAAAAAATAATTCAAGTTAATCATTTTTACTGAAAATAGCAGGTAATTTACGTATCGGATTGTTAACGTGAAAAAAACATTAGACTGTTGACTGTTCCTGTTATACGTTTTTTAAGCTTTTGAAGAAGAAACCACATGGAATTTTCAAAATCGTATTTCTGCTTTTATAATAAAGAAATGGTAATTCTAAGATTGTTTAAGCTTATTAACTAAAAATTATTGCCTACTTAATAAAAAAATTATTATTGTCCCCGATAATCTATTAATGAATAATAAAATCTTTACTCTCTTTCCTTATAAGACTGTACGTACACAAATTGGAGCCGTTCCTGAACAATCGGGCGCGAGGCCTGTTAAAATATCACCCAGCGTAAATTATTAAACAACACACCTTGAAGCGTTGGCCGATAGAGCTAGAGCAGCACTTGCCGGGGTACCGTTTCGTGACTCACGCTGGGCGATATTTTTTGTACAAAATCCCGTCTATCAAATATATTTAAGTGGATAATAAATTGTACGCATCAGATCAGTAATAATAATTAATACTCACCAAAATATTAACTATGTTAGCCTTCTCGTTAGGTCTTCCCAACTTTATGGTATTCTTTCCAGCAATACTCTGTAAATATTTTTTAGAACAGCCTTGAATTGTGTCTCATGCAAGTTCATATAGCATGTGTCAATAACTGTCCGTCTTAGAGAATTTTTGTCTAGATTACAACTCGAACCAACCTAAAAAAAAATGTCTGTTGATTTCTCATTTGTCCCTGATTTTTGCTTTAAGAAACAGAAATTAATTTCAAAGTAATAAAAATGTAGGAAACCGTACGGAGAGACATAGGATGATAATTTAGTTGAACTTTCGATTAACAGATGGCGTAATTAAAGCATAGTTTAAGACGTTACGACTGAACGGAAAATTTGTTTCACTTTTTTATATGTTTTCTTTTAACTTGCCAATTAATGATTTCATACAAAAATAAAAAAAATGCAAGTCGGGTTTTTGTCACATTTTAACCAAATTGTTTAATATAAAAAATCAAGTAACTACAAATTGCAAATTTAGAGATACAATATTGCATTAAAGAGAGCTGATTCTGATAAACGGATGTTCAAATTTGCATAAGAATAATACGAACATTGCGTTCTAGCTTGGTGAAAATGCAGCAAAGTGGCATATTCAAAAGGGAGCGTGACGTATGGGTAGCATCGAAACCGGAATGCCTTTTGAGTTCGAGGGTACTCTCAGTAGGCGTCAATGAACTTTTCATGGTCTACATGATACTGGTCGGCGGTATGTTCTCAGCTGCCATTATATTTTGCATCGAGATAATTTGGCAAAAGAATCAAGGAAAGACCAAATGAGAACAGAATTAGATGTATTCGAATTTTTTCTAGAGCAAAATTTATTTAAACGTTCACAGTTCACATGTTTTGTGCAACATGGCTTGCAAGTATAAATAAAATGTTTAGCTAATGATGTTTGTTTTATTTATCTAAGACGACCAGCTTTCTCGCCGATCTATTCTCTTTGATGTGACGTTTTCATAAATTCTGATATGTTGAACCGGCATTATTAAACAACTACATCCTATTAACCTGTCGACTTTCAAGTCAGAACTTTTGTAAATTTTAAATCTTTCTGCATGCAATGCGATGCGGTTTACCACGACCACTTTTGTTTGCCGAAATCAAAGAGAAATATTTAGAATAACCGACGCTATATCATTTAAAACTTTTCGTCTTTTCAAAATTGACGTAAATGCCTTCGAGAAGTGGCAATGAGATTTTTATTTTTCTTGTTACTTTTAGGCGTGAATTGCCAGAAAAGACTAGAAACGGAATTAATACTGGCGTATTTGAAGGAAAATGACGTAAAATACTGTTTTCTCTTAGTTTGTTGGAAAGATTCCGGTGATACAATTATAAAATAATTTTATGACTCACTAAACTGTGAATTTCAGATAAGGTGAAATTAAGTAAAATCGTGATAAACGAAGTCGAGAACGCTAGAATAACTTTTCTACCACCAAAAAAAGGATCTATTTCTAAAGCTATTACCAGCGGTTATTCCCAGATTACGTACATATTAGACTTGTCTTGTGACCAGGCATTTGCGATCCTAAAAGAAGTGAACACTTTTAAAATCATTTCGTACCGAACGAGAACCTAAAATTAACTTATTTTAGGCGTCCGAAAGTTTCAAATTTTCGCTTACCAACAGCTGGTTGATCATCGCCCGTCCTGACATGCCAGTGAAAAACGTGAAAAATCTATTCGGCACTTTGAAGCTGAGACTGGATATGAACGTTAAAATTGCGGTACTAAAAAATAACGAAAGCCGATACCACATCTACGAAATTTACGACCTTGGCTTGGAAGTCGATTACAAATTCCACAGACTTGGAGATTTTAAAGACGGAATTTTTTCTTCTCCCGTGAAGGAAAAACAGTTTTTCGAGTCGAGGAGGAATATGACCGGAGTGCTAGTTAGAATTGGAAATGTGGTAAACTAATAAAGATTAACCGACTTTTCATTTTTTTTTTTTTCACATTTTAAATTACCTTTTCGGTTTTTGTGGTTCTAGGTCAACTTTACTGACGAATTGTTGTGGAAATACAGAAACGTGGCTAGTTACAACGAACACGGGGGCTTATACGGTCTGTATCTTTACTATCTATTTCAGCCGTTCGTTGAACTCCTAAAATTTCGGTAAGACCCAGACTTTTACAGAACCTTCAGTTTGCCCTCATCCGATTTTAGTTACAACGTGACGGTTAGATACCCGTGGTTTGGTTATTCCGACAACGGTACCGACGGCGGACTTGGAAAGTTGCTGTACGATGAAGCAATAGACATCCAGATAGGCGGCGGTTTCGTCACCGTGGGCAGGACACCGTATTTTGAACCCCTGGTAGTTCCCTATGTGAATGTAAAGTAAGGTTTTACTATATTATTAGCATTTATGATATGGTACTTGGGTTGTTATCGATTTCTTCCGTCTTTCCAGGACCTACTTCTTCTACAGGTCGCCTAGGATTAAAAAAATTGGAGCCCAAGTATTGACGACGTTTTCAGCTGAAGTGTGGTACTGCGTATTAGCAATCGCGGTAGTTATGGGTGCCATGATAAGAGCAGTTTACTGGGTCGAAGACAGATATTTGGCATGTAACCACATTTACAATTTTTTTACATCGGTTATGACGGTGCTTGGAGTTTTAACTCAGCAAGGTGCGAGTCAAAAGTGGATGCCATAATCAAAAAAATTAAATTTTGTAGTTATTTTCGAATGTATCTATGAAAATGTTGCAAAAAAATGCTTTTTTAATGGAACTTAAAATTCTGTGAATATTTAAAATGTTACAATTTTTAATTCCCCATGTTTAGAATTTAAGAAATTTCCTAAATAATTTGGCAACGTTGCCACCAAATTCACAACCAACTAATAACAACATAGATGTTTTTCGACAAACGACAAGTTAGTAAAATAAACTCAAAATTAATTATTTTTGAATATCAATTTTTCCAAAAATTAAGAGGCTCAATAACGACAAAGTTTCCACCCTGTATATATTTCCACCACCTTCCTACAGAATCACAAAACAATTATGAAGACCAACAAAATCGCTACAGCCACCCCCAACTGCACACCCTTATCGAAATATTAACAACACTCGCTTAAACATCGACAAACTCTTACAAATATAATCAAAATGATCCATTTTCCACCCATCGACATATCCGTAATCGTGGAATACCCAGATCACTTTTATTTCCAAAACTTTCCAACCTACACAACGACACCAAAATCGCTCCGATCCGACCACCCCTGCGCCCACCGGTCGCGACCAAACATTTTTACACTGTTAAAATCTAAGCACATTTATTACGTTCAGGATCTGCTACGTTCCCTCGACGCACAGGAGGTAGAATCCTGTTCCTAACCACGTTAATATTCTCCATCTGGTTATACAACTACTACACGTCCGGCCTGGTGTCTTCACTTCTAAATTCCAAGCCCCAAATGTTGGACACGTTCCAGGACCTTTACGAGAGCCCTCTAGAAGTCGGGATGGAAGACCAAGCCTACATCCACTTATTCGTAATGCACACCAGAGACCGTTATTTGAAACAACTGTACCAGAAAAAGATATACGGTCGGCACGGTTCTCGAGGTCCCAACATCTTTTCCGCGCAAGAGGGCCTCGAGAGAGTTAGTAAAGGCGGGTTCGCCTTCCACACGATGGTGTACACCGCGTACCCCATCATATCGAGGACGTTCGACCAGGAGGCCATCTGCGATCTGGGCGAAATAGACGTCATGGATATTATCGGGGCGATGTTCCTCAGGAAAAAGTCTCATTATAAGGAATTGTTTGCTATCAGGTTAGTATTAGCCTTGTTTATACAGGGTATTTTTTTTTTAATCAAATAAATAATATTTTTAAATGCACTTTAATTACTTGTCTACGCCGCCACTCATGTATTACAAATACATGAATTGTAGGCAACCTACAGTGCATGTGAAGGGATAGTGTCGACTCTCTTACAAAATCCCTCACCTTTATTTAATTTTGAAGGATTTTATGGGAGAGTCGCCATCTAGTGTTTCCCTTTCTAACTTCGATTGGTTGTCTATTTAGGCTGTGGTATTAATGTTCAGTTATTTAAAATATACATGAATAAATAAATAAAATATACATTTTAGTTTCACGAAGCTGTGGGAGAGTGGAGTGAGTAAGTGGGTACACGACCATGTTATCGAGAAGCGACCGGAATGTCGATCAAACTTATTGCTGACGGCTGTCGGACCCCAAGAGTTGTTTCTGATATACGCGATTTTCGTTATTGGGGTTTTTCTGGCGATTGTTATATTACTGGCAGAGATTTTCTATTATAAATTGCAAACGAGGAAAGGAGTTTGGCATCAGCAAGAATCAGCTTTGGTCGATTCATTGCAACACAGTGCACCATCGAATATGAGATTGAAAAGTAGATAGATATTGGGTCAATCATTGAAATTTAATATATACAATATATAAATAGCATTTTTAATCAACTGAAAGTGTCGAATTTCACTTACCTTCATTGCATACATACAGAAAGGAGACGTTATATGGCACCTTCGTTCCATTTGCAACCATCATGATCTTGGGCCATTTGGAAAGTTCACATCAACCATTTGCAAAAATTGTTAGTTATTGGTTTATTCTGAAATAAATAAAGTATCGAGTTATTATATTTTCATGTATTAGGGCAGTATTATAGTTTCGAAAATTTAAAAGTGGATATTCGGTCAAACTTCTTTAGTCAAACAATTCGCTGAACGGCCTTAGTAACTGCCCAATATTCCCAATCAGCTGATTGGGCTGACCAACAAAACATTTATCTGCTGAACGACATTGACCGGTCTGACCATTCGTTGAACACAGCTATAGTAAGAAACATTATCTTTAAATAGATTGGAAACACAAGCAAGTCGACATCTTTTAAATTAATTTATATTATCACCGACATGAAATATAACACAAATTGCTGTTTCATTTTCATAATGACTATGGAAAATACATTATAATAATTATTAATTCGACTTGCTGGGTTGAATAACTTCTCTACACCACTGTTTTTTTAAAGAATACAAATATCGGCAGACAAAAACGATTAATAATTTTGACATTTCTCACAAAAAAATCCTTAGAACTGGAGGAAAAGTCCACAAATTGTCAACAGTATGTAATTGTTCTCAGGCATAAAAGAATATAAAAATGTATTATTATTTAAAAAAAAAATACGTACATGTATTTCTGCTTTCAGTAGTTAATTTCAAAATTCCTCGTTTTGTGGGTAACATAAATACCTACTCACCTGTAGTGAGACAAAAGCCAGAAATAAAATTATTATTATGGCGATTAACAGAAGAAAAATTAAACTGATAAGTTGTGTTGAGTCAGGTTTTTCTGTACTAAAAAACCCGAACAAAAACTACTTAAATCTTTTTAATTAATTCTGTTTCAAGTTTTCGTAGTATAAAAAAGCTAGCTAACCGTAAACGCTCTTAATAGTCTTAATGTCAAAGGTAAATTGTGGAAGCAGAAGAAGAGTACATGTTGACAGTCAAATTTGTTTTTTTTTGTTCGTCGCTAGCCCGAAATGGATAATTGGTCACTGAGTGCTTAAGACCTTTATTAATTAAACAACTATCAGTATGCTTACAAGGACAATAATTTTTATCTTGCCTCTTATTACATCAGACATTTCTGGTAAGAAATTTTAACCAAGAAAATCGATTTTCATTACCCAGTCTTACAGTTTTAGCAAACAATTACAATGTAAGGATTTCGACTGACGATCCTATTGTGAAGGGTGGTACTATACATTTTATAGCCACGGTTTATGAGGGAAATGATGTGTCTGATAACACAAATCTAAAATTCTATTGGGATGACAATGCTATCCCACAACACTCAAGACAGGTTTGTTATTATTGTTAACATTTTGTTTTGCAATCTAGAGAAAATAAAACGGTATACTGTTTCAGACTGATATGAAAAATGCCACCGATTTGTGGGCGGTTACGTATGAGGCGGACAAGTACGCCATGGGGACCTATATCGTAAACGTGGTAGTGAAAAATTGTTTAATCGAAATCGTCTGCTATGAGGTCGCTTCTGCTCGCAGTTATTTTGATATTACAGGTGAGTGTTTACGTTACAGTTACCCACAAAACGAACAATTTTGTAATTAACTACTGATTTTTACAGTAATGTCTATATTAAAAAAGTTAGTAATTGGTTTATTCCGAAACAAATAAAATATTAAGTTATTATATTTTCATGTATTAGGGTAGTATTATAGTTTGATATTTCAAACGTGGATCTTTTTTTAAATTAGATTCATGAATCTAGTAGTGGAGGGGATATTCTGAACAAATAGAAAGGTATGAACTTATCTGATAAAAAACATTGGGGGAATACCATATTTGTAAGAAACGTTATCTTGAAATCGAAGTATTGGAAACACAAGCAAGTCGACATCGTTAAATTAATTTTTGAAAAATGTTTTTCGCTTTATTTCTGTGTAAATCAGTTTTAGTTGTCTTACTCTTTGCTGGTAGTATATAATTTCTGTCTTTACTTGTTTTGTACAACTGTCTCACAATTGCACAATTTAAACTTATCAAAGAATGACTCATAAGATAACCACTCGAGAATAAGTCAATATAAACCCGTTTTATTTATACAAATTTAATTTTTTACTGTCTCTTGTTTAGGAATATTTTAATTTTCCAGAAACCCTGAATGGAAAGATGCTTCTAGTTCAGAAGAACAAAACGATAGACAAAGATTTCGTCTCTAATACGAGCACCGTCACCCACGAGATAGAATTAAAGGAAACCGACTGGGACTACATTAAAAACGCGACGACAGTGCTTACGTATTGGTTCATAGACTGCACGTATTACGGCATCACCACCGACATGAAATTCCTTTTCAATTACACGTCGCCGGGCGAGGAACACTCTCTGGAGGCTTTGGTGATGGCCGATTTCACCCCGCCACCCCCTACGACCACGGTGCCGCCCAGTACCACCACCACGAAACCCACTACCACCACCACAAAACCCACTACCACCACTAGTAAACCGACGACGACTACCAGTAAACCTACAAGTACCACGACCTCTACAACGGTTAAACCTAGTCCGGTGACTACCAAGGCTGGTGTTAGTACAGCGGCCTCGACTTCAATCGCACCTAGTGTAATTGCGAAAGCGTTGAGGAAGAGAAGTGTGAACACAAACGTTGACGTGAACCTTGTAAATGGTCCCAAGATCATGACGGTTGTGAACGGGTCGAAAGTGCCATATAACGTCTCTTTTCCGTACGTGTGCAACGGCACGCAAGTGGCCACGGACTCCAAGAAAACTTATGGGTACTTTTTCAGAAAAATCGAAGTAAAAGGTAAGTCTTCTTAGCATACAGTTGTCATATCTCATCAGGTGTACTGTCTCCGAGACTCAAATTTCTGACTTCGCAAAATCCTCGTAGCGCCCGTCGCGAAGGTCAACGTCACGGGCAACAACTGGATCCAGCATGGCGACTTGCTCAAACTGCGAGTCCAGTGTCGGGGTTCCAGGAACATCGAGTATTGCGTGGAATACAAGACGGGAGCCTACAATGTTACCGGCAACGAGACCTGTTATCAGTATATTCCGTTGGACGCCTGCGATTTTCAGATCAACCGTTACTTGTCGGGTTCCAAGTACACCATTCTCATCATCATTAGGAACGAGGTCAGCAAGGTGGTGCAGCCCGTCGCGGTGACCTTCTATGAAGGTAAGCGAAATTCGACGTTCGTTTCGATCATGCTTGAACCTAATTTTTCAACGATCTCTTTCAGTGACTACTCAACCGCAGTTGTCGGTTATCGTGGTACCGGTCGCTTTCAGTCTGGTGGCTGTCGTCCTTATCGTGTTTGGCATCGCCTATTACATTCAGAATCGGTCTAGGTAAGTGCAATGACCTTCGTTCGTCATATATAGCTCATCGACTCTTGTCTCTTATTAATTTCTGTCATGTGTTGGTTATGTCGTAAGCGTTTACACAATCTAGAATCGAAAATAACCATCTCCGCTTTCTAGATTTGTCATCGAGGTGGCCGACTTCAACTTCGGCCAGCAGTACAGCGACCTGGAGTACAAGACTTTCAGGGAACGGCTGAGGGACTCCATAGTGAACGCCTTCACCCGCGGTCCCAGTCCCAGCTCCTCGGAGGTGCCAGTGTGGCCCCCGGGACGCAAGTACGGCAGTATGACGTAGGAGGGTCCTTCGTAGTGCGACAGACCTAGTGAGATTTAGCTTTTATTATCATACAATAGATGATATATTATCGCCGTTATCTTAAGTTGGGCCGTGGACGGTTTGCTTTCAGTAGTTTTTAATTTTCCTTCGTTTCGAATTGGAAGGCGGAAATCGGGGGAAATATAAAAATTGGCTAAATGTAACGTTGTAAAAAATGTATAAAATTTGTTTAGTTTCTATTTTGTAAGTTTGGTTAACTTAGGATTTTGTGAAAATGTGAATTCTCGAGGTGTATTAAATATTGGTGAAGATGTACTGGAAAAATTTTTATCTGCATGTTTAGAGGTCGGGAAAAACACTAATATGTGCCAATTTTTATTTTTTTTTGCGAAAATCGAGCAATTTTCATGATCATTTTTTTTTAAATAAGAACTCGATAGACTTACTTGTTTCAATATATTTATGAGTGGTGATATATTACCCGCCGTTCGGATAATAGAAGCAATTTTCCCCAGAAAACTTCTCAGTTTCGGGGAAAACACATTTTAATTGACAGCAATATTAATTGAAACAATGTTTACAGTAAACGTTCAAATTTCAGAAAGGTTTTTCACTTCGTAAATACCACTACAAGAAAAATCAAGAGGCACCAGGTCTGGCGACCAGGCCGACCACTCTGTTTCACCGCGTTTTTCGATCCGATTAGATTGTAAACATCAATGTTAATCATTTTTTTTTTATAAATGTATAAAAAAAAAATTTGGAGAAATTCTTTAGAATTTGAGAAAAACTGGAGGTTGCCATTAAAAAACAATGATCGTTGTAGCTAAAAAATATTTGAATGTAACATTTTGCAAGAGTTATCAAATAAAAACTATTCAAATAATAAGAATCTAACTATTTTGGCGGTTTTACCATAACTTATTAATTTGTTTTTGCATATATTAAGCATTATTTTAATTTTTTGCGAAAATCGAGCATTTTTCATGATAATTTTTTTTAAATAAGTATCTCCTTCAGAACTCGATAGACTTAGTTGTTTCAATATATTTATCAGTGGTGATATATTACCTGCCGTTCGGATATTATGAAGCGATTTTCCCTAGAAAACTTCTCAGTTTCAGAGAAAACACATTTTAATTGAAAGCAACATTCATTGAAACAATGTTTACAGTAAACGTTCAAATTTCAGAAAGGTTTTTCACTTCGTAAATATCACTACAAGAAAAATCGAGAGGCACCAGGTCTGGTGATCGAGCCGACCACTCTGTTGCACCGCGTTTTCTGGTCCGATTAGATTGTAAACATCAATGTTAATAATTTTTTTTTATAAATGTATAAAAAAAATTTTTGGAGAAATTGTTTAGAATTTGATAAAAATTGGAGGTTGCCATTAAAAAACAATGATCGTTGTAGCTAAAAAATATTTGAATGTAAAATTTTACGAGTTGTCAAAAATCTAACTATTTTGGTGTTTTTACCAAAACTTATTTGTTTTTTTGCATATACCAAACGTTTGCTGTTTTCTGCAAATGTACATATTTTTCTCACGCCAGCTTTGTTTCTCAAATTAATAGTGTTTTTACTAGATTAAAACGACGAGATTAATATATTTTGAGTAAAAAGGGCCGACGCCGGATTGGCTTTCATTTTTTCCTTTTTTTTATAGAAATGTTTTTAATATTTTTTATACATCCCATTTAGAGGTTTTGTGCTATATTGTACTGTATTTTATGTATTTATTATGTTGTTATCAATTTGAAAAACTATATAAAGATTTACTATAAACAAAATTCAGTCATTTCTTCCTTCATCAGTTCCTTCCTCACGTAGTAGAGCAAGTTGGTAGTTAAAACAAATTTCTGTATTTTCGTGATAAATTTATTATTAAAGAATAAATAATAGGTACAAGTATAAAAGATATTAACGAAATATTGTATATTCTAGTTTAAAAAGATTACAGAATAAAAAAAAAATTGATAACGAGTCAGAGTTTATAACAAAAAATAGAAATGGGGGAGACTATTCGGAAATAACAAGTTACATAATAAATTTTTTAAATTGTAATGCAGTTTTGGTTTAAAAATTTTCACTGGAAAACGCCTAAAGGTAAATTATCAAACTGAAATCTCAAGGGCAATTAAACATTGACGTTCTTTATGTGATTTTATATAAAACACGTACTTACAGCGTTTTCAACTTATCTACACTTCTGCACCAAGTGCGCACCGAGTATAGCTTTCTCCTGTATTTATCAATTCAAGGAATAAAAAAAAGAAAATTTCAGGGGTTTGGGTCTTCCTGGGATACCCGTTATATAAACATTATATAGCCCCTCTTCTATAAAACGGCAAATGCAGCCCCTACTTTAGTTTTCGTTCATTAAAAAGTTTGTTTTCCACACCATAATACGCTTATCGGCCCCACCGGAGGCAAAATACTCTCCGTCCGCACTGAATTTACAGCTAAAGATGGCATCGCTGTGTCCGCTAAGAGTATACAACGGCCTCCCTTCCATCACGTCCACGATCTTCAACTTTCCATCCCTCCCGCTGCTAAGCAAGTAATTCGCACATGGGTGCCACGACACGCAAGTCGTGTCATCGTGCAAAGTGTAGTGCTGTTGTAGTTTCTTGTTTCTTATGTCGTACACCCTGACGGAGCCCGAGTTCATGGCGACTGCAATGGAATTGTTATTTTGGTGCAGCGATAAATAGTTTGGGCTGCTGCTGGCACTCCTGAAAACGTGTATTTGTTGTCCGGAATCGACACTCCATATTCTCACAGTTCGATCGTCTGAACAAGACACAATCATGTCGCCGTGAGGTGACATCCTGGCACATCTTACCCAGTTGTTGTGGCCCAGAAAGCTCGCAATGAACTGTTTCTTGCAGGCATCCCATAGTTTCACTGACTTATCGTTAGACCCAGTGATTAACTTGGAGTTATCGGCGTTGAAACATACACTATTCACTGCCGACGTATGCGCTTTGAATTCCGTACTGCCTCCTCTTATTGTGGGCACCCAAATCCTTACTGTGTGATCCTTGGAGCTGGAAGCTAGAAAGTTGCCGTTGCTGGAGAAATCTACACTCGTAACGACGTCCGAGTGCCCGACAAACTGATAACTGCGCGAATTCTGCGAATTGTTCCATACCATTATCGAGTGGTCTTCGCTGCTGCTGGCGAACTGTTCGTTGTCGGGACTGAAGGAAATGTCCGTGATCGCTTTCTTGTGTCCCCCCAAGTTCATTGATAAACAGGGGTCTGTTGTTGTTGTCACGTCCAACACCGAGGTGTCCGACATGGTGGGCAATTATCAGTAGATTCTTAATAAAATGCACAAAACAACAAAACCGTTGCGTTCAAATATTTTGAGGTTATGTACGTTTTAAATTGTGAACTAATATGGACCCGGAATGCCCATCATAACACACCATAGAACTAGCAGTGTGATTGGGCAATAATCTAATTACCGTGTTCTTTTCATTGGAGGTGAAGCTCATGGCTTTGAAATCTCGGGTGCCTATTGGCTGCTGTGGAAAATCGATTGTTAATTTTACCAAGAGGCAATGAGCTTTATGCACAATGGAATGAACGTGAAATGTTCGTTTACCCAATAACACAAAATCGATTGGATTAATATTTCCAAAAAATATATTAGATATATTTAAAAATAGAGAACATAAAGCATATTATACTGCATTCTCAAGCAAATAAACAAAATTTAATAAATCATTGAAGGGAACTTCATTAATTTTTCATATTAGCGACATCTGTGGAAGAGATGATGAACTATTAGTTCGATTATGAAAAATTCCGTGTATTGATTTTAGCCTATTTCATTGCTCTGGCCAGTAGATGGCTGTAAAATAAATCAACTCGCATCGATTCGCATTTAAAATGAATTGATAATAATTATTGGTTAATTTGTTGGTGTTGTTCGATGCTTATACATTTGGCGCTACTATAAAGTGCATTCTTCTACGAGGACTTTCATTAAAATTCCTTTTTAATTTCCTAACGTACCACCACGTTGATGGAAATTCCTCTCCGGATACCGCCGTCAGTTGCAGCTCCTTTTTTACCCCCGTTCGAGCGTCTCACCCCTCGCACTTTTTCATTCACAGGTGCAGAGAGCGTATACGCATAATCATAATTACCCAAATCACACTTCCGGGTCATTTTTCATGCTTACCGACGACAAATTCGATGGTGAGGGGTGATGAATAAAATATTATTATGATTCGGGAACGACGACGGTTTTTCGGATAATTCCCGTGCAAGGAAAGGCACCGAATGGCCTTATAAATCCCATTAGAGGGTGTTCACCCCGAGTGAGACACTTTTATGTACCCCAGGCGATATTACGAAACAGAATTGTCTTTGTCGGAAAAAGTTCGCGATTTGGCAAGTTGAGAATTTGTAGATTTTCACGGTTTTAGTGGAAATATTTAATAGGTGGGCAGGAAAAAATGTTGTGAAATTGTCTTTTCTGTATTTGTATCTTTTCATTGCCGCTAAAGCCAAGAAACAACTAGATCCTCTTCCTTTTTAAATATTCCACGTCTTGAACTTCTATTTCCGCAAGCAAAACTCGATTTTAAACCCTCCTTTAAGCGGAAATTATGTAGAACAGCCAATTTAGTTTCTGGGCTTATTTTTCGGACAGTGTAAGGGTTGTCGTCACTTTGGAGGGCGACGTCTGGCTTTTATTAGCGATGTTCGGCCGAAAATCGCAAAAAAGGGCCGAGAAAAGGATGGGGACCTCTCAGAATGATTAGAAAGCTTTGCGTATGGGAAATATACTCAAACGATAAAAAGGAAATGAAAAGTTTGTGTTCAGTATAAGATGATTTTTTTTCATAAATTGTTTATAGATTTTTATACTGTGCATGTGGTTAATATCCGTTAAAAATATCATTATTATCTCACTATGGGTGTTTGTCCTGCACACATCACACTTCGGAAACTTGAAGTATCTGAGCGGGACAAATATTTTATAATAAAACAGGGCAAAGAGCTGGCGTCCGACTTAATTTTCCCTAGGAATGTCATTTTAATTTGAAATTAAGCTCCGGCGAAGAAGCGGGACACTCCAGGAATTTAAAGCTTCTGGCGGACTGCACGTTTTTGCCTTCGCGAGAATGCTCCGGAGTAGTTCAATCAAATTAGATTTTTATATGGCAAAATTTAGTTCAGTAAACAAAGACACGTATAAATTAAGAAAAATTCCGTAGAATTGAGTGAACTACTTTACTCCAGCTGAATGTTAGGGTTTTATTTTCAAAACGGCGTCCAATGTTCGCAAAAAACATTTTTTTTCACTAAAAAATATAGTCTTAACGACAAAATTTTAACCTAAAATTAAGTCGTCGTTCCAAGTATTTCGAATCTATCGCAAAAGAGTTTAAAACTGTCATGAAATGAATTCTACATTCTACACCGAACAATACCAAACAAGCGTTAAAAGTTTTATTATTGCAAACACGCCGTCGTATTTCTCTCCTTAATTTCCGACACGGCAATGCAAATTTAACTCCTACAGCAAATTTTCCGGCGGCAATAAAACGAATGTGAGACATTACACCTTTCTCAAATAAAGCGTTTACGTTAGCGAGCTTCCCTCTGCAAGGACTTTTGCTAAAATGGAAGTTTTCGGAGTGTTTACATAAGACGGAGAGGGGTCTCTTCATCTGCATAACGCGAAGAACACACGAATAACCGGAACCCAGGAGCGTTATAATTTGTTAACGTCTGTAATTAGTTCGTAATTACGCCACAGACGAAGTTGTGGCGTCGCGGAATCACGAAACAGTAGATGGCGCTGTAAAAATGTTAAATGTCAAAAATTAAGCACCTAGAAATCTAGGTATTTTTTAATAACGGGAAGTTTTATACTTTTAGCTCGAGGATCATATAATCAACAATAATTGTTATCCGGTTGGTTATAGATGACCGATCGGAGGGGCTAGTCCCCAACGCAATTCTCGAAACTTGATATCCGGCGAATCCGGTGATCCCTTCCGTTTACTGGAACATGCCAGCCAAAATATCGAGGGGATAAATCTTATCCTCACGGTACTTTTTACTGCATTTTAATAAAAGCCAGTTTTTAAAATGTATTTTTATGCCCTATGTGAATGTGTATATCGACAGATAATTATTATTTAATCTCGCCCACGTCCCTAGGGATCATTTATTTGCTGCTAAGTGATTTACTTATTCGGAAAAATCCCATTCTGAGGGGTAAACTCGATTGACCTCCTCAGGAATTTAATTTCCGAGGGTCGCTAAAAGCTCAGAAATTGCCCTTTGGATTATTAAAGTCCCCGCCAAGTGCTAAATATTTGGAAGTTGTCCGCCCTTCCGGGCCTCTCTCGGTTCAATTAAATACAAGTGTCATACTACGGTTTAAATTATTTTGGGACGTTTCGTAAGGTCACCAGGTCCCGACAATTACATTCCAGGCGTGGCTGCCTTTCGAATTTATTTTATTTAAAAAAATATATTAGTGATTGGTCTTTTCACGCGAAAGCCTTTTATTTTATGATTTTATGATACACGGAAAGACCAGTTTATTTGTGACAAAGAAACCCCTTCATTTGGCGTTTATTTTACCAAATAAAACATGTGTTGTGGACGACACTAAAATCAGTCCGATCGGACCGCCCCTGCGCGCAGCGGTCGTGACCGAACATTTATTACAGTGTTAAAGTTATACAAAAATATACTTTCCTAACGTCATTACCGACATTTTACCGTATTTACGTATAAACGTAAGGAAACAAATGTAAAATAGGCAGTTTTAATGATATTTCGGGAAGATTACACCACAATTATGGCGTTTACGACGGCTGTGGGACTTGGCGAGATGAATATAACGTCACGAGGGTTTGCGGATGTCAGTTGGGATTGATAGCCCGGATGAGTGTTGACGGGGGACGCCCGAAGTCCTGGAGAAGACGCCGATAAAGCACACCTGTTAGCGTAAGCGTGCGTTCAAGTGTTGCAGCCTGGAAGATATGGCCCGCTTTGTCTCCTCCTATTTCGGGTTTTCTTGCTGTGTAACGCGGTACATCGGGCTGTTTCTAAGCGTGTCGTTAGTCTAAAAATGATTGTTTCGCAAGACATCGCGTGGAGGGAGGCGGTAAAGTTTTTCTGCCGCGAAATATATCGAGTATCAGTTGTGTAGAACCCCCTGTAGAACGTGGTGGAGCACAAAGTATATGCTCTCTGCTCCACTTTGACTACAAAATAGTGATGTTAAATTTAAACCATATTCAACTGAATTAAACTAAATCAACTGATTGAATTAAACCAGATACGGTCAATTTCCTTCTCCAAACGCATTCCTCACAGCTGCCGACGTCTCAGGCCCCATCACAACCCGTCTATCTCCCGAAGAATCCCGGACAAAGCCTCTCAGACACCGCCGAAAGTTCCACCCCGGTGACCCCCCAAATAGCCGACGTAGAAAAACTTCCGACAGATATCCCTTCCGAACCCGTCACACGGGCCGCCCCCGGGGACGATTCCGGGCCTGGACCCGCTTATTTCCGGCGGTTTAACCGAACGACTGTGACAGGCCGCTGTCGGCATGTCGCGGGGAGCTTCTTCGGCGGAATTGCCCCGGATCTGTCGGTCTATGTAGGTAGACTCGAAAAAGGACGACTACCAAACATGAAAATATAGAAACGTGAAGGTATTTTACTGGAAGTCAGCATTTGTTGAAGATAAATAAAGAAAATGCGCTTATTTAACAAAGTATCTTCCCATGCTTTGATTAACGAATATTCCTTCTTTGGATTTTGATGGAAATATGTAATTTTACTTTTATCGTTACTCCCTTAAATAATTTAAAGTCTCCGATCGCGGAAATTAAGCCGACGGAGGCGCGTCTGTAAATTTTCGACAAACACGGGTCGCGGCAGCGCCGAGCAGGAGTTCTAATAGCGTCGACTACACATCGCCAGGTAGTTCGAGACTTAATTGAAACGTCGATTGGTTTAATTAACAATTAGCGAGGATCTGCGAAGGAATCCTGCTGAAAGGGACCTAGGAAAGCGCCTCAGAAACGCTGTCAACACTTTTGAACCACCGCGGGTTCGTTTCAGTTATTTCCCCACAAGTTAATTAGACCGGGAAAATTAGCGAAAATTAAAGAGAAACTCGAAAAAATTCCTATCCGCGAGATTATTGTAAAATTGTCTAAAGGAACATAATACAAGACATCTCTCATCTCGTGATTCAAAAACTTTTATTAGCTAACTTTTCTATTTAAACAAATAAGTGAGGAAAACAGTTTTTTCACTTTGCAGGGAAAACCATCAATTTTAGCGAAAAGTGACTCTCAGACAGCTTGTAGGG